GTTCCAGTAGGTCGGCGTCCGCACGCCGGTGTTCAGGATCAACGGATAGAGCTGATGCAGGGCCGGGGTCGAAACCGGGCTCTCCGCGGGCTCTTCGTAGATCGGCAGCGGCGGATAGCCCCATTCTTCGAGATGCGTTGACCAGAGTTCGAACTTGCCGGTGGGCGTGCCGAAACCTTCCTGCTCATACTTGCGATAGGCGATCGGGACGGTCACGTAGTCCTTCTCCCGCAGCTCGTCCCAACTCATTCCGAAGGGCGCCAACGCCTCCTCCGCGATGCTCTCGGAGGTGCCGTATTGCTCGCCCAGTCCCAGTTCGACCGCGAGGTCGGCGAAGAAATCCCAATCGGAACGACGCTCCTCGATCTGGACGGCGGCGCGGGTGGAGGTATCCATCAGGGTGCCGCCCGGCCCCTTGATGTGCATGTAGAGGCGCGGCTCGGTGCGCTCGAGATTGCTCGCTGCCGGCAGCACGACATCGGCGAGGGCGGCGGTCGGCGTCATGAAGATCTCGCTGACGACCAGCAGGTCGAGCTTGCGCAGCGCGGCGGTGACGGCCGCCGTGTTCGGATAGCAGACGGCCGGATTGTTCCCGACCACCAGCATGCCGCGGACCTTGTAGGGCTTCTCCGTGAGGATCGCGTCGAACAGGCTGGGCGGATGCGCATAGACCGTCGGCCTGAGGGTGAGACACTTGAAGCGGTCGGCGCCGATGCGCTTCTCCGCCTGGCCCGGCGGCAGGGCATCGTAGCGCTCGGTGTCGCCGAGCTTCGGCGAGGGCCAGAAGCAGTTGCCGCCGGGCGCGTCGAGGTTTCCGGTGATCCCGATCAGCGCCAGGATCGCCCGGTTCGATTGCACGGCGTTGCGGCCGATATGATCGGCGCCGGTGCCCCACACCATGTTGGCGGGCTTGGTCGTCGCATAGAGACGCGCAGCCTTGGCGATCTCGCCTGCATCGCAGCCGGTGATCTTGGCCACGACGTTCGGCGTGTAGGCCGCGACCATCTCGCGATAGGCCTCGAAGCCATGGCACCAGTTAGCCACGAACTCCTTGTCGTAGAGATCTTCGGCGATGATCACATTCGCCCAGCCCAGCGCCATGGCGCCGTCGGTACCGGGACGCAGCGGCAGCCAGATATGGCCGGGTCCGCAGGCGGTGGGACGGCGCGGATCGACGATGATGCTGACCGGCTTGCCGCGCAGCGCATCCGTGACCGGTGTGTGCCCGATCAGGCCGTGATCGTTGGCGATGCGCTTCTGCGCGCCCCCCTC